CCCTCCCCCCAACCACACTCCAGGCATGCTTTTGTCATAACAACAACAGTGTTCCGTCTACAAACGGCAAACAAGGGTTATATATTTACACAAGTTATTTACAAGGAGGGGCGTTTTAGTTTAGTTTTAGTACAGGTTTTACGGTGCTCGCAACTGCATAAGGTCATATGAGCGCCAGAAGATTAGAATTAGAGGTGTTACAAGAGAGCAACAAACATAAAAAAGATGAAAGGGAGATCAGGATGATAGATGTTTGATAGGAAAGAAGAAGCAAACCACACCAGAGCACCCGCCAACCACCCACTTTGGGGCTGGGCTGTGGAAGGATGTCTACTTTCAGAACACAATGTGAAGTAAAGTAAAGAGCCTCCAACATTTGAAGAACAACCACTAATGATGAGTGAAAAAATCAGTTGAAGAAACACTGGTCCCTGCTCTGACAAGTGTAGTTAGATCCTTCACCTAATCCCGGGGTAAAGGAGGAACGGCGTCTCAGAGTGGGAGTCAGATTTAGTTAAATTTTAAAAAAGTTTTAGTAAGGTTTTTACTGCGCTCGCAACTGCATAAGGTCATATGAGCGCTAAGGGGTGGATGTCAACAGAGAAGTCCTTACAGGGAATCAGACTTACTCTGCTCACCTCTCCAGCCTCACATTGTCACGATAAAACACTGGCAAAATATATCACTTCACAGTTCAACACGTGTATGCAAAATATCTGACGTCACAGTTAAAGATGGATAGAACATCTCACATCATGGGAAAAACACGGGCCGAATATCTGGCACATCGCACCCTATGCTTTTACAGAATACATCACATAATATGACATGATGGAAACACGAAGGAGAAAACAGTGGTGAGAGCAGACCATCTGGATTTAGTTTTAGTAAGAGTTTTACGGCACTTGCAACACAGTAAGGTCACATAAGTGCCGAAGATTAGAGGTGTTACAAGAGAGTAACATACACAAAAAAGGAAGAGAGATAAAGATGATAGTTGTTTGAAAGCAAAAGAAGGAGCAAACCACACCAGAGCACCCACCAACCACTCACGGGCAGAGTATCTGGCATGCAGCACCCTTCGCTTACACCACACACACATATATATATATATATATTTATATATATATACATGACATGAGGGAAACACAAAGGGCAGGTGGGTGGTTGGCGGGCGCACTGGTGTGGTTTGCTTCTTCTTTCCTATCAAACATCTATCGTCCTTATCTCTTCTTTTTCTTTTTTATGTTTGTTACTCTCTTGTAACACCTCTAATCTGGCGCTCATATGACCTTATGCAGTTGTGAGCGCCGTAAAACCTCTACTAAAACTACAAAAAAAGGACCCTGAGACCAACATCTGAGGTGACTGTGTTCAAATACTGGGACCAATGTTTAACAGTTCGCGACCCTAGGCTTTCTTTCTTGTCCTATCTCCATTTTTCATAACAGTGAAAACAGTTCAAAACAAAGAGTGAGCTGAAGACGAAGTCACATTTTCACTGTTTAAAAAAAAATGGAGGTACGAAAAGAAAGCACCGAGGTCGCGAGTTTCTGGGGACAAAAGAGCAATCATTGCGACATGTGAAGCGTGCTGACAAAATGAGTCACTTCTTTGATTCGAGCCCTATGGAAATAGATACCTCACGCTTATAGGTGAAGTTTTTACAGTTTAAAAGTATGAAATAATAAAAAGCATGTTATACTTAAAGAATAATGGCATCAATATAAAATCTACAAATTTGAGCCTAGTGTCGATTTTTGGCCAATATCTCCATTTATGGGTCGCAAGAAGTAACTCATTTTGTCAGCCCGCCTCACATATCACAAGCCGATAAATCTATAGCTTCATAATATCTGTCTTGGCTGGCTCCCTGATACATAGAACATACACAACTGTATACATGCTGATGTTCCGACCTCCTCCCCGTCTTGCCATCCGCTTCGTTCAACAATTCCGCTGCGGTCAAAACAAACAAATGAAGAGCGAGTGAAAGCTCATTGGCCACTTCTTGACTCCGATATCGCGGTCGGCGGTAGGAAGTTCACATACCACCACGGCAGTTCAACATATTTCCCGGCAGAATACGGCGACATCCCGAAGCTTGGTCGGTTCTTTCTCCATCCGTGAATTAGTTATTTGTTTGTTTTAGTAAGAGTTTTACAGCACTTGCAACACAATAAGGTGAAATAAATGCTGAAGATTAGAGGTGTTACAAGAGAGTAACAAACATAAAAAAGAAGGAGAGATAAAGACGATAGATGTTTCATAGAAAAGAAGGAGCAAACCGCACCAGAGCACAGCACCCGCCAACCACCCACGAACCACTTCTGTCAAACTTCAGGCCGCAAACCAGTGGTGAATCCACATCGCAGGAAGGGTTATTGGGGGGGGGGGGGGGGGGAGGGGGAGCGGGGGACACAAACACACAAACACGATAGTTGACATCCGTCCGTCGTCACAGACAGGCCTTTCTGCCCCAAACTCCGGGGTGTGCTCGCTGGGATGACATCACAGCCCAGAATGAAAAAACTTTTCAAGGCCTTCAACTTTTCCTGTTACCGGTAAGTGTTCAGTAAAAACTTGGTCCAAAACTCAAAGGTCTTTTTTCTTCTGAGGAAATCATCCTTTTCTGGACGGTAACTTTCTGTACAATCTTTGTCCCTCGATGACGCCACCACCGCTGCAGAGAGCTCTTTTGTTGCGTAATGGTACAGTAGTTTTAGTAAGAGTTTTACGGCACTTGTAACACAATAAGGTCATATAAGTGCCGAAGATTAGAGGTGTTACAAGAGAGTAACATACACAAAAAAGAAGAAGGGGAGATCAGGACGATAGATGTTTGACAGGAAAGAAGGAGCAAACAAGGACGGAGACAGGTCACAAGGTGACAAGGACAGAGGTCACAAGGACAGAGGTCACAGGGTCACAGGTCACAAGGACAGGTTGGAGTCGGTCAGGCTGACAGCGGACAGGTCCTGGCACACCCGCGAGTCGCCCATCTCGTCGGCCAGCGCGTCCAGCACGTCCAGCAACAGCTCCCGGCTGAGCCGGCGCAGCGAGGCTTGTCTGGCTGCCTGGGGAGGGGAGCGAACGGTCGGGTCACGGCTACACACGGAGCGAGAGACAAGCACATCTTTCCAACAACCCTCACTGGGGGGCACAACATGGCGGAAACAGGCGCTCGTCAACTTGGGGACACGTACCCAGCTATTGGTTATAAGGTCACTTTTAAGCACAAAGAGGCTATCCCGAAAAATGCTGTTTTGAGAAAATCGAAGGTAAAGTTTCTGCCCTTTGTTCAGTTTCTTTAAAAGACAAGGAGGGGTTGCCAGATGTCAGGGATTAAATTAGCAAGAAAATGGCCGCCAAAGTTTGATGGCTTCCAATGTTCAACACTTTGCCGTCATATCTCGACGGGTTTACCGCCCAGTTTCTCTGGATTTTCCCCCAAATGCCTTTGCTTTTGATGGTTCGGGTTTTTACTACATGAGCCTCGAGATGGCAAAGTGGTAAGAGTCATTGGAAACGGCAAATTTACATTTTTAATACCTTTCATTAACCTCTTACAGAATAATCTACACAGAAATGTGTTATTTTAAAAAATGGATATAAAAGGCGCTGATGCAAAAAGAGAAGCTAGATCAAAATTGTTCACTGGACGGAGAAATGGCGGTCTCTTTGATTTCCTCATTTTGACGAGCGCCCAATTTCACCACGGAGTCTCTTAATTCTGTTCTGGAAAATGGGCAAGTTTGCCAAACACAAAACATCACAGGGAGTGTGTAGAAGTAGGACCTGTCAGAGACACCCTTCAACCACCCACAAGTAAGAGTAGAGCCTAATGATTGATGTGTAAATCAACGTAATTGTTTTACACAACTACCATAAACTATGAGTCAGGCTTCCTCCACCCCAGTTCCCAGCCGCCCAACATAGACAGATCGAGACACTTGTCCCAAACAAATCCTCCATGAGAGAATAAAAACAAAAATCTTTAATTAAGAAAATGCAAGATCAGCATGCGAAATAAAATCTACCAATTTAAGTAACGTCCAACTGAGAACTCTCGCCACTATTGGAGAATTGTTCATTGCCGATATCGACCCCTATCATCCAAAAACTAAATCATAAACTGTGATACGATAAAACAAAAAAACAAAAAACCCCAGAAAAGGCGGGCAACGAGCGACCTACTTTTGTGAAGTGTCGCACGATGATATTGAGGGCGTGTTTCTTCATGTCCGTGGCCTGGATCTTGTCCGCCGCTTCCAGGATCTGCCGGGGGTGAGACACACAACGCCAAACGTGAGTCGCAGAGTCAGTTTAGTTTTAGTAAGAGTTTTACGACACTCGCAACACAATAAGGTCATATAAGTGGCGAAGAATAGATTACATGTTACAAGAGAGTAACAAACACAAAAAAAGATGGAGGAGAGATAAGGATGGTAGATGTTTAATAGGAAAGAAGAAGCAGACCACACCAGAGCACCCGCCAACCACCCACAAGTCAGCGAGTCAGAGGTCAGTCCAGTTATGTCCCCCCAGTCTCCCAGACTCTTGGCCCGCAGGCCCCAACAGTGGCACAACATCACAGGCTTCTGGACTAACTATCAACCATCAAACATCTGCATTTTTAGTTTTAGAATAGAAGAGGTTTTACGGTGCAGGCAACTGCATATGGTCATAATATGAGCGCCAGAAGATTAGAGGTGTTACAAGAGAGTAACAAATATAAAAAAGAAGAAGGGGAGATAAGGAAGACAGATGTTTGATAGGAAAGAAGAAGCAGACCACACCAGAGCACCCGCCAACCACCCACGAAAATAACTTCTATGGACTCGATAATCCAAACAGGCCACAATGTCTCCAGCAAGCACGGTCGAAGAAACGTGTCTATTGAATTATTCAATATTTTGTTGATAGGGGCAGAGAAATATTTGTGAGGCGTTCTGACAAAATGAGTTACTTCTCGCAATCCACAAATGAAGACATTGGCCAAAATCGACACTAGGGTCAAATTTGGACAAATTTGTAGATTTTTCTATTGATGTTATATATTCTTTAACTAAAACCTGTGTTTTATCATTTCCTACTTATTAATTGTAAAAATTTCACCTATAAGCATGATGTATTTATTTCCTTAACCCTATCCGTACGTCGTGTTTACTATCGTATCCATACGACGTGTGGAACTCTGTGCCACCACTTAACCCTATCCGTACGTCATGTTTTACTATCGTATCCATATGATGTGGGGAACTCTGTGCCACCACTTTCCAAAAGAGGAAATTTACTCATTAATCTGATCTGTAGGCTTTGAATAGCAGTCTGTCAAAATGAATTTTTGAGAAATACTGAAAGTTTCAAAGAGATCTTCGTACTAAAAGTATTCTAAAATGGGGAGAATACAACCCCAGGGGTACAAAATGACCCCAGGGCGTACGGATAGGGTTAAGGCTTGAATCTGAGAAGTAACTCATATTGTCAGCACGCTTCCCATTTACGATGAGTGAAAAGCCAACCTCACCTGTATCACGTTCTGGTACGAGACGTTCATCTCCAAGTTGTGCTTGCAGAAAGCCTGGACAGGGAAAAAAACCCAAATCAATCATTACATGACTTTCCTTACAAGATCTTTTAAATTGGGGAATTTTGCATTTATAGCTGTCCCCGTCGTTTTATGCAAGAAAAATTCTGAAATTATGCGAACTGAGTCCAAAAATGTGAAATTATGCCATTCTGTTAATTTCAACAAAGAATGATATATAGGAAAATAATCAGAAATAATGCAAAAAATGATCAAATTTTGCTAAATTTTGCGGGGTGCATAAAACCACGGAAAACCACGGGGACAGATTTATAGGTAGTTTTTATAAAAGCCATTTCCACTTTCAAAAGTTTCTTCTTTGCAAATTTTATGTCAAACAAATTCCTTTTGAGTGAATTATATCTGTTCCACATTACACATTCTAGTACAAATTTTGTGAGAGATATTTAGAAAAAAACGTACAGTTTATTTTGGATCACCCTGTAGGCCTATGTATTTTGTGCATGTATTTATGTATGTATGTATTCATAATTATGTATTATGTATTTATGTATGTATTTCCGTTTGCCACTGTAAACCAAATTGCCCTTCTGGGATCAATAAAAGTGTACTTCATTTTTATTATTATTTATTAATAATAATAAAATAATAACAGACTGCATTTATATAGCGCTCTATCCCATACCAGTACAAGCTCTGAGGGCTTTCCACCAATGACAAAATCATTCACACAAGAGAAAATATTTCACAGAAACAAGAACAACCAGTTCCACCACATAAAGAAGAACTTTCACAACCATACACTAACTATATATATGCGCAGTAAAAAAACAAAACATATCAGCACTTACTAACACACTGTAACTAAGAATTCAACAAATGAGTCTTGAGCAATCGCTTAAACCTATCAACATTTGTTGTTTCTCCGAGATATTGATCACCTGCAGTCTGTTGTTGGTGAAGCCGTAGAAGTAGGGCGCGGCAAACAGGTAGAGGGAGTCCTCGGGCGGCATGACGATGTCGCCGTGGTAGATGTACCGGCGCAGGCTGTCGAACGCTTGTCTCGACGGAACCATCTCGCCGATTGCAATCTGTTATAGTGAGAGTTTTAAGGCACTTGCAACACATTAGGGTCATATAAGTGCCGAAGATTGGAGGTGTTACAAGAGAGTAACTAACACAAAAAAGAAGAAGGGGAGATAAAGACGATAGATGTTTGATAGGAAAAAAGAAGCAAACCACACCAGAGCACCCGCCAACCATCCACAATCCCAATCTGTGCAGAAAGGGAATGAGTTTGTTTGTTTGTTTGTATGTTTGCTTGTTTGTTAGTTTGAGTAAAGAGAAGCACACCGACACAATAACGGTCATTCAGTGCTGGGGAAAAAACAAGTTAGACAGATGGAAACAAACAGAGGGAAAGTAAAGAAGTAGGACCAACCACTGGCACCCTCCAACCACCCACACAGACAGAAATAACAGAGGGAAAGTAAAGAAGTAGGACCAACCACTGGCACCCTCCAACCACCCACACAGACAGAAATAACAGAGGGAAAGTAAAGAAGTAGGACCAACCACTGGCACCCTCCAACCACCCACACAGACAGAAATAACAGAGGGAAAGTAAAGAAGTAGGACCAACCACTGGCACCCTCCAACCACCCACACAGACAGAAATAACAGAGGGGACAGTAAAGAAGTAGGACCTACCAGTGACACCCTCCAACCACCCACACAGACAGAAACAACAGAGGGGAAAGTACAGAAGTAGGACGTACCAGTGACACCCTCCAACCACCCACACAGACAGACAGAAACAACAGAGGGAAAGTAAAGAAGTAGGACCTACCAGTGACACCCTCCAACCACCCACACAGACAGAAACAACAGAGGGAAGGTAAAGAAGTAGAACCTACCAGTGACACCCTCCAGCCACCCACAGTGACGGCACACACAAGGCAATGAAGACTTTAGTCGGAAAGATGGCACCAAGTTGTGTCAAATGAAGACCTTACGTGTTACACACAGACTAGCATTGACCACGTGTCAAACGAAGAACTTACGTGTCACAGACAGACTCACATTGACCACATTGTGTCAAACGAAGAACTTACGTGTCACACACAGACTCACATTGACCACATTGTGTCAAACGAAGAACTTACGTGTCACAGACAGACTCACATTGATCAAGTTGTGTCAAACGAAGAACTTACGTGTCACAGACAGACTCACATTGACCACATTGTGTCAAACGAAGAACTTACGTGTCACAGACTCACATTGACCAAGTTGTGTCAAACAAAGAACTTACGTGTCACAGACAGACTCACATTGATCAAGTTGTGTCAAACGAAGACCTTACGTGTTACACACAGACTCACATTGACCACGTTGTTTTGGGGAATGAAGGATCGGAACATGGCCTCCAAGAGAAAGAGAGAGAGAGAGAGAGATAAAAAAAAACAGACACAGAGAGACAGACAGCGCACAATGGACAGACGGACAGACATACTCACATTGACCACGTTGTCTTGGGGCATGAAGGATCGGAACATGGCCTCCAAGAGAAAGAGAGACGGACAGAGAGGCAGATAGAGAGAAAAAAAAAATAGACACAGAGAGACAAAGACAGAGAAAAAAAAACAGACACAGAGAGAGAAAGAGAGAGATAGACAGACTGAGACACAGAGAGAGAAAGATAGAGATAGACAGACTGACAGACTCGCATTAACCATGTTGTCCTGTGGCATAAAGGATCGGAACATAGCCTCCAAGAGAAAGAGAAAGAGAGAGAGAAAAAAAACCAATGGATACAGAGAGACAAAGAGAGACGAAACCCCCCCACAGACACAGAGAGACAGACAGCACGCAACAGACAGACGGACTCACATTGACGACATTGTCCTGAGGCATAAAGGATCGGAACATGGCCTCGAAGAGAAAGAGAGAGAGACAGAGAGAAAAAAAAAGACAGAGAGAGGGAAAAAAAAAAGAGAGAAAAAAAAAGAGAAAGAGAGAGAGAAAAAACAAAACAGAGAGAAACCCCCCCCAGACATAGAGGGATTAACAAAACAAAACAGAGAGAAACCCCCCCCAGACATAGAGAGATTAACAAAACAAAACAGAGAGAAAC